GACTTTAAAATGCAAATCTTAAAAGGAATGATGCATTATGAAGAAAAACAAAGAAAAATGACCAAGAGCATACTGATACTAGCCAATGTGTGCAAACACAACATAAAACAAACACAGGTGCTAATGAGGATAAAATAGTAGAAATAGGAACTTCATACACTGACCACTTAAATGCATACCCTTATTAGGCTTTTATACTGCAAGTTCTTCCCACATAATATAAGCGTAGTTTTATGGACAGATTTGGAAAATAAATGTAAATATTAAAGTTGGATTATTTTGCAAACATAAGAATGAATGAATCTGTGTAGAAAAAATAAAGGAAAGGAAGGAAACAAAGGGCATACTATTACTTTACACAAAAAAAATCAAAGGGAATTGATCTAGTAATACTGAGAAATCAAAAAGTTTAAAGCTTTTGAAGTTAAAAAATATCTGGTTTAATTAAAAAAAAAATAGGGTTGATCTTGATATGGTGGAAAACCTTTCCATAAAGACATGCTATTGTAGACATGGAGATGGAGGGGCAGGTCAGAATGTAGCCCAACATTCAACTTAAATATAATCTGTTAAAACTTCTTAAAACTGCAGGATCAAAAAATTAATTGCCTGATCAGTCTCAGCTGGAAAGTGGCTTCCATGAAATGGAATATGGATTGCATTGAATTTATGGCATTAATTTTGAAAAGTCTCAAATTATGTCTATTTTATCTAAATATATAAATCAGTTTAAAAACAACGTAGTTGCCTTGAAAAAGAAGTTTTTTCACTAAATCTTATAACCACAAGATTATTAACTTGCATGTAAGCTTTTCAGTAAGTTCAGACCTACTTCAAGAACCGCTGGGAAATTTTAACTGTAGAGGTTGTTGTAGGTCAAGAAAAGGAATGCATGCCCATTGATTTGTGGAATATATTTATCATGGAATGAAATAAGGAGAATAAAGCCCAAGAAAAACACCTTCAGAGTTGTTTCTATCATAGCCTGAGAGTATTGAAAAATTGAAAATTTCAGGTGAGATATGGATGTCAGAATACAGTGAATTCTGAATTTGTTGGATTCTGAATACAGGAAATAGTATGAAACACTAACAGAGGACTACTTTGGAAAACAGAACTTCAGGTAGCTTCATTCTAGCATCTGAAAGCAAATGTGAAAACAGAGCTGGAAGAACGTCAGGAAACATTAACTCACCCAGAATGTCTCACTGGCAAATTAAGGAAAAAAAAAAAATATATAAGCGCCTACAAATTCCCTGGAAGTAATCTCGCAGAGATGGCCAAAACATCAGCAGGAACAATTTGGAGGCAGATAACTTCAGATAGGAATATGCTGATGGCTTAGCATATATACATTAAAATTCAAGCAAACTGATTTTACTTTTTCTCCCTCTCCAACCCCTTAACAGAAAAATATTCCACATTATTAAAACAGTGCAATGCTGCCATCAGTACAGCCTAGGCAATTAAAAATAACTGGCTTTTAAAGCACATATGCTATGCCCAATGGTCACTGGCACTTTGGCAACAGATATAGTGGCCATGAGCCTAATGCCACAATAAAATAATGCTGACATGGGCACTAAGAGGCTTTTCAACACCAGAGATCAGCAGCTAAGACACTGAGTTACAGTTAATTTGTGTTGAAAGCAGAAAAACAGAACCTGGGGTAGCCATGATCTTGTAAGAAAACAAAGACACTGAACTTCTGAGGCACAGACTACTGGTACAGGCCAGCTGGATTTCTGATCATCCTTAATCCTGCTGCACTTCAGGAAACAGGATTTTGCAAAATTGTTTTAAATAAATAGGAACAAAACTATAGGATGGTCCTAACATTTGCTACTTTTTTTTACATTAGTCAAACTGGAAATCAGAGGACTAAAGAAAAAAATGGTACTAGGAAAGTTTAATGAAAGTTTAGTTCAACTAAAGCATGCATTACTCATGAAACATAATATATATCCATTTCCTATGTATAGTTCCACAGTTCTGACTGCACTTGTTTAATTCAGACTGATGTGTAGTAATCACTACAGTAACAGTCCTCAAACTCACAAATAAATAATATTCCCCTTTATTATGCATAGATATTTTAAATGTGAAATTTCATTTCTGTGTGATGTTACAATATATACAACTTGCTAAAAACAAAGTAAGCCCAGTAGTAAAAATACTGCAAATTAGAGTTACAACACTTCCATAAAACAGACCTCATACTTCACATCATCTATTACTCACATGGAAGTATGTGATACCCATTTTCATTTTCCAATACTACATGGTATCTATTAAAATATTCTTACTTTATTGGTTTGTTGTTTTGTTTTGGTGTTTTGTTTTTTGTTTTTTATTGTAGTGTTTTGTTTTTCATTTTAACTCCGTAATGAACAATACTAATTTTCTATAGTTCTTCTGGTTAATAAACATAGGACTCCATTTGATCTCTAGACTTTTCAGGAAAAATAGTTTTTTGAATTGGCCAAGGGTGTTCAATGTAAGAGCCCTCCAAGACCCAAAGGAAAAAAATCTCCTACTCTACTAGACCAGTTCTCAAAGGAAATTACACAGACTTTTGTCTTCTAAACTGTGTCACAGTCAAAGGCAATTAAAAAGCACTGACTCCATCCAAACTGATAATTTTTAAAAAACTTTATTTTACTTGTTTTTTCATTTTAAATGTAATAGCCAAAAAGGAATCCTGATTTTGAATTTTTTAGGACAGAAATGGCATAGTCCCAAATATTACTATTTTACACTCCCAACAGCTTCCTCATTTTTATTTGATGCTTCTTACTATGGTCTAATTTACAGAGATTAAATGTTCAGGAATCTCAGAAAATTAAGAAGATTGGTAGAAACTGTAATGAATTTTTGCCACTGCTAAATCCTAACTGAAGAGTTTTGGCTAATATTCAACAAATCACTATGGAAAATGTTTTTAAGCAAGAACAAAGTACTGACATCTACTGGTGACTGGAATTACAGATTGGTTTCACATTACAAAAATGTTTTAAGTACACTGTAAAAGAAAATAAATGGACAAATCACTTGTAAAGATTAATGTCAGTGACCTAATCAATTTTGAAGGGAGACATATATGATAGTTTAACAAAGTAACACAAATCAAACAGTTGGATTCCATTTCTCCAGCAGAAAATAACTAATGAAACCTTATGGACTAAATCTCTATTGCTTGGGCCTGTAACAAGAGAGGAGTTAACCTGATGATTCAGTCTTCTGTTTTCATACAGCAGTTGTCTTTGAAAACACAAGGATTTAACTTTTTTTTAAAAAAACTGAAACTAATAATTTCATTTGTATTCTTTGCAGTGAAAAATGCCAACTTCAATGTTGATATGCAGGATTGCAGAGATGATCTGCCCCATCTCCATAATCAGCATTGCTGGGTAGTGTCTCACAGTGGCTTTGTCAGTTGACCAAAACAATCAAGCTGTACCAAGAACCTGCTCATTATGCCCCGTTATTTTTTTTCCTATACACTGATGGCTTTCCCCTTCTCCCAAATTTCAGATATGAGATTATTGGTGGGATTTCCATCACTGCTTCTCTTAAGACACCATGACTGCTGTTCAAGAGGTAACTGTTAATACTGGAAAAGCATCACCATTTCAGCATTTCCATAAAGCCATCTCCTTAATTAGGCAATAAATGGTTTTAGAAGCCAGGTCATTTTCAGGTGCAACTCTGATTACAAAAAGATTTCACTTCTCTGCCACACAACATGCTTATATTCCAGCCTCACTGAAACCATTTGTACTTCTACTTACTGAACTCTTCATTACTCATATTCTGCAACATCAATTACAGAACTCAGCTAAAATCCTTGGGTTTAACAACTGACACCATAATCCTCGGTGCACACATTGTATCTGAACACTTGTCTCAATTCCAAAGAGGACTCTGAAAGAACAGAACTCTGCAGAACAAAAGCTGTTCACATGACTGATTTCATTAAGGGATTAAAAATTGCATTTAGAATGGATTTAATTACAACAGGTTTGATAAGCTTGGATAAATGAAGCCTAAAACATCCAGCAATCTGATTTAGGCACTACGAGACTAATGTACATAAAACAATTTAAATCAGATTTATTTTTCCTTTACAACAAAGAACATGGAAATGAAAAATAGGTCAAATAACCTCACAGAAAGCCATTTCCTATCAGGGGATGAATGCCACTCTTAAATTTTTTCTTAATTTTGCAAAAGACAAAGAAAATAAAGCACTGTTTATGCACACTGAACTTTCAGTATAAGTTTCTTAAAAAGCTCTTCTCTCTATGCTTAAGCTTTACAAATCAGATCTCACATTAAATTATAAAGTACAACATGCAGCTCTCAGGTCAATGTGACCCACCAGCAGGTCAAGGGCAGAGTGCTCAGTCTGCAGAGGAACAAGGAATAATTAGGGAAGGTTCTGCATCACGGAGGGGCAGGGGCAAGAGAGGTGTGAAGGACTGCTGCTGCACGAAGGGGAGAATCCTGCCTTAGGAATTTAATGTCCACACACATTTCTGTTCTACTGCCACAATGTCACAATTGTGTAATGGAATTCTGACAAAATCTACATTACAGCACATTCACTGGCTCTATTAAAATGCTCACCTAAAATTATTCTAACTGATCATTAAATTGCTACGTTTTTCACTTCATAAAGAATGCATCTTTTTTCCCTTTTTTTTGCAAACACACTACAGTAACACTAAGCCTTCTTCCAAGCCTTTCTTATCACTTTTGCATCAAATGCCATCCAAACAATAACAGCCCTTACACAAAAAGGTTGATAGTTGAAATGAAAAGTAGGGATAAATCACAGTGTACAATCAGCAAATAAACACTGAAATAGTTTTTGTATAAGCACACAGAAAGCAATTAACAAAAGAAATAGAATGGCTTTGAAAAAAGGCACAACAAACCCCAATATTTTTAGTAAAATGTGGTAACAGCATACACAACAATTTGCACTTAATAGTAACTCAACATACCTTTCCAAGATCTACAGCCTGTTTCAAAATATCCCTTTTTAGATCTTCTGCTCTCTTGGAATGAAAAGAATTACTTTGACTCTGGATGACAAATACAATTCCTTTTAATTCTGTAAACAAGAAAATAAGAAGATTAAAAGATAAAATAAATTATTTTCTGATTTGCTCCAAAGCTAGTGAGGACTCAGGTGTGTGTAGGAATCCATTACACAGTGAGCTATTCCTTTAATTACACAAACATTTCATGAAATAGTAAAAAGGCATTATTTAACACACACACACACATGAAAATTCAAACCAGCCCTTTTCAAGATTCATTTAAAAAGAGCATGGCATGACTGGAAGATGTGCAGCAGTTAACAGTAGCCACATTCACGAGGTTGCTTTTACTCCAGTGCACCAGCAATCCTTGTCACCAGAGTTAAAAGGTGTTCATCACAGACCAGCACCTCCCCTCTCCATGAAATGCATGAACATGAAACAGAAAAGCTGCTTCCCAAACAAAGAAGTTTAAAATCCTACCCAGAAGCAAACACCAGGTGGAGAGAACGAGAACACACCAAGAACACTGAGCTAATACTCTTATCTAATATGACAGCATCAATATCTCACACGTGTCTTCACAGTGTTTAAACTAAAAACTTTAAACAGGAGAGAAGACTGACAGAAATATAAAAGAAAATAATGAAGTAGCTTTGCAAACGTTTACGGATTATAAAAGTGCCTATTATAAAACACAAGTAGATAATTAAGCAGGTAGCCAGATTTCCTTGATGATAGGAGATAGAATAATCCCTTGATACTGGGAAATCTTAGAAAAACAGGAAGATATGATCCCATTCAGAAGCAGGGCACAGCAGACAGCAATAGAGGATGAGAAGATAAAAGGAAGAGGATAGATGCCTTCTCCAGACCCCTTAACAAGTCTGATCTATGCTGTTTAACCCACTCAGAACCATTAACTAAGTATCAATCAATGAAGAGGAGCAACACGTGCTAGGCTGAACTTCACAGATATTATGTAGAAAGTGTACTAGGAAACTCAGAATATAACAACTTAAGACAGCACAAGGAAAGAAACTAATGCCCAGGAGATCTGTACAGAATGAGGAAAGAAGGAACTAAATTCACACAAAAAAGAAAGAAGAAAAAAAAAGAAAAAAGCTAACTTGGCAAATAGAGTAAAATGAGTGATGGACAGTGGAACAAAGGTGGAGAAAAACTGGAGGAAGAAGGAAAGAAGTAATCACAAGGAAAAAGAGGAATACTAAGCCCATGAAGAAGGATCACAAGGAAAACATTGCAAACAGAAAGAGCATTAACCACAAATACCTGCACTAAGGTTAAGAGAAGAATCCTATGTCCAGCACCTGAGGATTGATGACAGTGCTTTGTTCCTCTGAACAGTTATTTGTTAATGTAGACCTATGACAGCTCCAAGCTGCAGGTAGATGTTTTTCTACTTCTCCCTCAATTTACTAGCTTATTCATCTAGACATTGCCAAATTATGTGGGGTTTCTGGTGATATATTACGGAGATGGAATAAGCATTGGTTTAGGTATCAGTATTCATTTCACATTTTTCCCATACAGTGTAGGAATCAACAGTGTTCATGCCCTGAACCACCAAACAAACTGCTTAAAAATCCCATACATAATAAAAACTTCTGAGTAGTAACTAACTGCTACCTAGCAAGATCTTTGCTAGATTTCCTGTGCAAAAATTAAAATCAGTGTGAAACTAAAACTACACTTCGTTGATGCTAATGAGAGTCAAAGGGCTAAATCTACATGCACAACACCAAAAACACCCACAGAGACAAAAAGCAAACATGACCTTGTTTTTAAATAATTGGTGTTTTAGTACCAGTGTATTTACAGATATGGAAGCATCTGAATTACATTAGTTTCACTTATGGTACATTTAACAACACCTGTGATATTCCACAATAGCATACTTCCTAGGAATGAGAAAACATCTACATTTATGATTAAATAAAATGGAAATAGTGTCCTTTGCTATATGTAGTTTAAAGTAGTTAATAAAAGACATATTCAGTGTATGAAAATGTCAACAGAAAATAGTTATAATATTGAACACCTCAATTGTTTCTCAAGCTGAGAAACACCCAATGAAGCCAGAGAAAGAGCAGTCTTTTGTAAGATTAATATCGAAAAGTGCTACTGATCTGTATATAACAGTTCAAAAAAGAATGAAATATCAGAGGAACTAAGAACCATCAAGAACTACACTCTGTTTCAAGCCCTTACATTTTACCTATAGAAATGGGTTAAAAGACCTAAAAAAAGACCCCCCAAAAACCAAAAACCTCAAACCAAAGTAACTTTATTCGGGAGAGGCAAAAAAAAAGACGTATTCCATCAGACCAGCAGTCCAGTATATTTTTTTAACAGCAGTAATAGGAAAGAGTACTTAAAGGGACACCACAAAACCTTCACTTTCTCCAGTGCTCCTCATACCCTCACAGCATTGACAAACATTATCTTAGGAAATGCCAGAAGACAGACATAATTAAGTTGGCTCCTTTTAGAACAAGCAGAGCCAAGTCCTGAGGGTTACAGTGCAGAGAATGGAAGTCAGGTCTGTTAACTTTTCTGCCAGAAGGACACCAGACTTGTCTTCAGAGAAAGCAGAACCTAGCAGAACTTTTATTCTCATTATTTATCATGTGTCCAGCAGCAAAAAGTTGTTTTATCACGATTTTACCTATTAATATTTGACATGCTTCTTAAATACTAGCTTCTAGATATTACAAAGTTATTATAATTTTTTACAAGCAATTTCTAATAACTCTAGTTATTATAAGCACAATTAGAGCCTAGTAGAATGGAAAAATTCAGTTTCATCTTAAATTGTTAGAAGAACAGCTACTAAGTATCATAAAATTTTATTTTAAAATATAGTGCACTACACAAAGCAATTCATCCTTTTCACAGTACAAGCGCACATGCTCACGAAAAACTTAACTACAAGAACTTCAAGTACAATCAAAGATTCAGAATTTTCTGTTTGATGAGACTACATGAACCAAGAAAAGAAAAGAAAAAAAAAGAAACAAAGTATTTGTGAAACAGCACTATACTCTACTTACCTCTGCCTCTTTTACTAGTTGTTCTACTTTTTTCAGACTTCTAGAAGAAAGAAAGAGAAAAAAACAAGTTAGAATATACACAAAGCCTCAAATATTTCTACAGAAACACACTGGGAGTCAAAGCACTCATCAGATTATAAAAGTATGCATAGAGGTTTTAACTCAAAAATTAATAGTAAAAATAAAGTCAAATGTTATTCACCATCAAGAATTCCAAGAAATATCCTAAATGCTTGCATACTATTACTCAGAAAATACAGTAAGAGTAAGAAAAAAAAGCGAAAATGCTTTTCCATGACTCAATTTATACCAGAGCTCTTTAAATTATTACTAACAATGTCTTTTTTTTTTTTTTTTTTTTTAAATTATATATCTCCTGAGCGCTACATTTGGAATATGGAGCTCTACAATAAAAACACTCCTGTTCAGTGTGGTAAAAACCCAATACACTCTATTAATTTAATCTACTATCAAGATTCTATCAAAATACAATTCTTAAAGGAAGACTCAAATGCAATTTATATACAAAAAAAAAATCAAAAGAAAATTGCACATAACATGACTCCACTGGAATTTATTCAGGTATCACGAACATCAGGTATCTCTGCACTGCCCAGAAAACTGTAGGAAGGAAAACAGTCTTCATTTGTTGCACAATTTATCCCAGGTGACAGCACCCCAGTGCTTTGGTTTGTCCACATGTAAAATTAAACTCATCTTTAATAATTGCATAAGAATGTTGTAGGATTTATCTTGGTTCCAGTGTTTTAACACTTTCAGATAGAAATGCCATACATATCCTCAGTAATAAGCTCATACATAGTTTTCCACCCTTGAGACAAGTTCTATTTTTAAATACTTAGCCGCCTCCCTTTTTTAAAATATCAGATCTATGCAATCCTTTTAGCTCTACCTGCATTGCTTGATCTTTCCTCTGACTTTTGCACTGAAATGAATAAACTCCAACTTCCCTGGTAGCCATTTCAAAAATTAGTGCAACTCCATCCATTCTTATGACCATTTTCCTGCTGCCTGGGTCAATAAAGTTTAAAAGATTTCTTGTAAGATGAATTTATTTTGATATCAATATACAACAGTGTCATTATATAGCACAGCAAGTTAACATTTTAAGGTAACCTGTATCAGAAAAAAGGAAGATTGATTTTCCATGCAAACAAAAACCTATGTGTTTTGTGGTACACTGTGTGAAGAACAAGCCATATTTAAAATTACTTTTATTAAAACACAAACCAATTGTTTTCTGTTATATACCTGTTAATGTTATTTTTTTTTTAAAAGGGGAAAAAAGATATTTTGGCCTGTAGAATTCTAAGAAGCACCTCTGACTTCATCTGAGGTACAAAATAGCATAAAAGCCTTCATAAATTATATCCTACATAAGATGGGTAACAGCTGGATTGAGACATTAATGGAATTTAACAAATAGCATGTTTGTTATGTATTGTCATTACTATTAGTAATGACAACAGAATGACAAGACCAAGTCTCCCAGACACCATGGAAGATCAGCAGTTTGCAATAGGGATATTTTTCACTTAGAAAAATTACTGTAGTTATAACAATCCTCATCAAAACCAAAAATTATTTGGAAATACATACTTCTGACTATACTTATATTGTATTTGATGTCAGATCACTAGATCTAAAAGGCAGCTATAGATTCTAACTATCGATTCATTCCAGATTTTTTTATTTTCCTCCCTTAAATTTATTTGAAACATACACAAATATCTGTTACAAACATGTACTCATATAAAAATGGTAGTCAGAAGTCTGTCAAAGGATATGCATGCATACACACCTAACACTCAGTATGCTATTTAAAGCAAGGGCTAGCTCTGACCATTAGTTCTCCTAATCTGGATAATTTGAAATTTCATACGTGAGCTTTGCTTGAGCCGTGACTTGAGTGGTAACAAGTAATAATATTAATTTGGCAGAGAGACAGCCATTTCCCTCTCAATGTATTATATATTTAACAAAACCAAGAAGAAAGGAAAATCTGTCTTTGAATTAATAAAGGTTATATACTCAAAAACTTTTCTCAACAGCAATAGCACTAAGAACTTACATGACACAGAGCAGAAAGACATAATATGAAATTTGGTACTACTGAAGTCAATAATCAAATAATCAATGCCACAGATACTGGGCTTTCTGCTCAGGTCTATTCTAGCTTACATTACAATGTCTGTAAAATATTCCTGCTCTAGCAATTAAAATTTATTACCTGCAGCACTGGTAGCTCAGTCTCATCTTCTGCACCTTCAGAAACTACACTTAGAGCAAAAGCTGAAAGGAAAAACAGACTTTTTTCGTATTACAGGAGCTCACTTTCACAACTGATGAAGTCCTGTAGCAAAAAAAAAAAAATAAAATCAATCCCCCAACCCCCTCCCAGCATTTAGGGAGATTTTTCACATTAAATGATACTGTATTTGTAATAATCTTCGTGAACATGAGAGTCTGTTCTTACAAAATTTATACATTTGCTGCCTGACAGTTCCCACACCATCACTGAAAAAAATCACTCTGATATGAAGCCAATTTTTCTTGGCTTGAAGGCAAATAAATCCCTTAAAAAAAATCCGTCCAGTCCAGTAGCTCACTTGACAACAGCCTAATGTGCTACCACATAGGAGACCTGCAGTCCTTTGTTTTTAGGTTAAAGTTTGGATTACCAAAGCTTCTCTTGGAACCACAGAAGTTAACAGTGGCTGACAGAAATTTCTGTCAAAAGTGAAGATGACTACTATAGGCTTTGAATGCCATCTTTGAACAACATTTGAGCTTGCAAATGTATGAGACCCAAATAAATGTTTACAATAAGAACAGGGACCCTACAGAGCTAATCTGCACAGAAGTAACATTTTCTTAAACTATTTATACTGACACCACCCTTTGCATACACTTCCGGTTGATTGTATAAGAAAAAAAATCGGGTTCTGCTGTTACTTTTTTGTGGTTGATGTAGTCAATTTGTCTCAGCCTGCTCATTTGTAAAAGTAGTTCCATTTAACATAAAAGAGCCTTGCTAAGATTCTTCTTAAGGAATCTTTTTCTTTAAAGTACTAAAGAGATGCAAATGAAAGCAAATTGTTACAATTTGGAAGGAATTCAAGATGCTATTCATCACCGTCAAATTGATGGTTTTCTTAAAAACTGTGGCAGAAAACAGATTCAAGTGGATTGTCTCACTACAGATTTAAATTATTTATTGCTTGAAATTGACTTCAGAGTGAATTGTTAGCCATTATCATTCCTCTGATGCACTAGAAACCTACAGTGTAGGACATCAAAACAAGACTGTCCTAGGTCTAGGGTGCCCCATCTCTGAACACCTACATCCTTATGTTCTTCCAGCTGGAGATCAAATGTCATCAAGTGTCCAGGAGCTGAGGTTCACAGTGACATCTCAGGTCCTGGTTAACCTGCATCTCAAATCACACTGCTAATCCAGACAGCCCAAAAATCATTCTAACACAGCAGACTCATGGTGGCCATAAATCAGAATCACAGAATATTCCGAGTTGGAAGAGACCCACAACTCTTAAATGAGTGGCCAGTACAGGGACAAAATGCATGTCATGAGCACCAGGCTCTAACCAACTGAGCAAATCTCAAGGTCAACTTCCTCCTTTTATCCCAATATAACAGTATTTACAGATTCAGACAAGGAATAGCTTCCCCTCCACAAACCAGATCCACACCTTCTTCTTGACACAATCCTAATAAGATCAACACAAACCATCTTTCTTCCAGGAAATGTATTAATTATGTAGTATTAACCTGAAGAAGTGCCACCTCATAAATTTAGCTTATTCACAAGCCTAATTTTCAGGTTTTAATATGCACCAGAGGAATGACACATGAAACCTAAGATAACTGACTGACAAGAGATGCTGCCTCTGTCACCACAGTGCATTCAATAACCCATGCCACACTGCTCCTAAGCTTTATGAAATATTAACACACATGATCCTTGAAACAAATCAAACAATATCAGATCACCTATTTCACACCACATCTTTGAGAGCACAGATAAAGCTCTTCAGGGAATTAATTAAACAACCTACTCATCCTGGAATTACAGAACCACAGATTTGTTGAGGTTGGAAATGATCTCTAATAGTCATTTAGTTCAACCCTCCAGAATTAGATCCTCAAGACCTTATCTAGTTAGGTTTCAATTATTTTCTAGATCAGACTCCACAAACTCTCTGAGCAACCTCTTCCAGTGCTCATCTTCGACTAAAAAAAAACCAAAACAACAGTTTCCCAAGTTTCCTGTCTGCCCACTTCTCCAGCCTGCTGAGCTCCCTCTGAATGGCAGCACAACCAGTGGTGCATCCACTCCTCCTGCACATTCTGTATCCTCTGCAAATTCTCTGAGGGCGCACATCCCATTGCCATCAATGAAAGGTTCAGCACTACTGCAGCCACCATGCCACTCACCAGAACCCCAGAGCCCACCAAGTCAGACAGTTTTCTATCCACTTTGCTGTCCAGAGACATAGCCCATACTTCCATCAGTTTGTTATGACATTATAGGAGAGAGGATTGCACTCAAACTCCTTGCTGAAGTTGAGATGAACAACATCCATTGCTTTCCCCACATTCATGAAGGCAGTCATGTCATTACAGAAGTCTTTTGGGTTGGTTAAGCATGACTGCCCGTTCATAAGAACATGGTGACTTCTCCCAGTCACCTCTTGTCCTTCATGTTTTTCTTGTCCTTCCTTGTTTGGCAGTGATGCTGAGGATTATTTGCTCCACCACATTCCCAGGGACTGAGGTACCACAAGCCAACTTATCCTTGCCCTCCTTGAAGACCAGGGTGATATTCTTCTAGTCTTGAGGAATCTCCCCCAGCCACCATCACTTTTCAAAGATTATCAAGTCTTGCACTGACATCATCAAACTCCACCAGGACTTGTATGTGTCTGCCATCAGGTCCTGTGGCTTCTGTATGTCCAGTTTGTTTAAATGTTCCCTAAACCAGTCCTCCTCCAGTGAGATTAACTCTTCTATGCTCCAGACTTTCTCATGAGTTTCAGGGCCTGGGATTTCTGAAGGTGAATCTTAATAATACAGATCAAGGCAAAGAAGGTTCCAAGTTCCTTGCCCTCTTTCATGTCCTTCTTTTAACCTTGTCCTCCATTCATAAGAAGGTCTATTATTATTTTCTCTAGTCTCCCTTTTGCTGATACACCTGCAGGAGCCTTTTTTCTTACCTTTCACAAGTTGAATCCCTCACCAGATTCAACTCCAGGTGTGCCCTAGCTTTCCTAATGGCCTATGGGCACTCTCAGACAGTGTCTCCATGTTACTCTTGGGGTGACCTGACTGTATTTCCATCTCTTGTTTGCATCCTTTTTCATCTTTGAGCTTTGCTAGGAGCTCCTGCTTGTGCATGTGGGCTTCCTGCCATCCTTGCCTGCCTTCCTGCATGTGAGCATGGATCATTATTGTAGGAGATGAACTTTGAAAATCAACCAGCTCTGACCCCGTCACACAGTGCAATTTCAACACTCACAATTTATTCAACAAACCAATACATGCAACAAATGCTAAAGTCTCTCGCTATATCATTATTCTTATTCCCTGTGATTTCAGAAAGGCAGCTTCTCCTCCTTTTCCAACAATTAAACACATTAAAATTACTTGGTATCTTTTGCATAAAGTATATCAGGAAGACTTTTTCCAGCTAATACATTTTAATAAGACAAGAACTGTTCAGATTATTTTTAAACTACCGAAGAACCATTCATAAAACAGACTAACAGACCCCTGAAGACACCACCAAAATAGCCTCAAAATCCTCACCCAATAGTAATGAAGCTTTTCACGCACACAGACTGTATGAATTTATCTTAGCAACACTTTTCTACCGGATTAGCAAATCTGTTATGCACATCTAATTTGATAAAGCACAAGTCTACTGTGGCCAAGACTGTTCTGGCTAAGCAACCTAATCCTTCAGCATGGAAATAAATACCCCCTTCTAAGGATTTACTGGGAAAAGGGCAACAGGAATAGAACATGGTAGATTTAGCTGGCCTACAAAATATCAACAAAGGGACCACAAGCTAGGGAAAAAATACAGTGCCTAGGCACAAGTGGACAACTCCAAGATTAATTCATTCACATGCAATTCACTTCCAAGAGGTTTCTGAAAAAGGTGTTCCCAGGAGTGGACCACTGAGAGAAAAATTCTAACTCCAGATGCAGCTCATGGCCAGGTCACTTTTACAAAACAGGCAGAAACTATAAATTCTCAGTGTGAAGGATATGCTTTTGTTGTGTGCAAGGCATACGTGCACAAGGAAGGATGACCTATGTCTAGGAGCTATCAGATGCTACTGTAACAAAACAGTAGCTTTTTGTGCCCAAACATCATTATTAATTCAGACAACTGCAAAGGATTTCTTCTGGTATAACTCCCTGAAACACATATCAATGTCTGGAGCTAGAAGTACCTTTGCTAAATCCAGAATTTCCTCTAGTCCTTTTCTGTGTTCTAATACAACATAACCATAGCTCAGCTGGACCACTGACTTGCCACAGAGCACAGAGAAAATGCATTCCAAGAAGAAACTTACTAGCTGGTAAAAGTTCAAGCCCTGCAGGTACCACAGTAACCAAAAGACCAGGGTGATTAACTATACCATTTCTCACAAACAAAACTACCCAAAGCAGAAAAAACCCACCAGGCATCATCTTAAATGCAACCTGTAATCTTGTATTTGTCACTTCATTATTTAATGCACTGTGTACTCTGAAGGTTGTTAACACACATTGTGCATTAACATCGTGTTATCTGGCAAAGCAGGCAGAAGCAGAACGTGTCAATCACTAGTCCTCCCCTCCTTGTGCTAAATGGCCAAGAACTGAGGATAAGAAAAAGAAAGAAATTTTAGAAATACTTCAGTGTTCTATATTATCATCAATCTTATCTTTATGTCTTTTGAGAGCATGACTAAAATCCACTGGAAAAGCTAGGCAACATATTTGGATCCATTCAAAACCTGGACATGTAATATGAGAATTCCTATTAAATTCAATTCCTTCAGTTCCTATTTATTTTTGTCAAGTGTTCTATTATTTCCATTAAAATTTTGATAAGTAAATAGACTTGCTTATAATACTAGAAAGTAAAGCAAATCGTTTCATTGTTCAGCAACCAAACTGCAGGAATATGTGCAGGATAGAAAAATGGATGTAAACGCTGCATTAAAATACAATAAATTGTATAAATATATACAATTATATAATATCACATTTTATATGTAGAAGCAATCCCTTCTTTGGTAACACTCTTTCATGCATAAACAACTTCCAAACGTTTGCAATTATACGTCCTTGGAATGCAAAGGATGTTAAAAACTAAGGAGTTAACTCTTTGCTTTCAGACTAATCCACCTGAGACAGAAAAGCATCACTTCTGTTTTATTTCTCTTTTACAGTCTGATTCAAGGTTGACTCACTCAACCAGCTCACTGAGCTCTGGGTCAGTTTAAATGAGCTACAAAAAAAGTAACAATTCTATGACTTACTATATGGCAAAACCGTGACTTATAATAACCACTTCAAATAATGACAGCCAGTGATTATGTTGTACATAGTAGAGAAAACATTTAAATATAGTTTCTTTAAACTTCTAATAATTTAATGAAAGGCCTATTTTTGTTTTGGTTGGGTTTCTTCCCCCTTACAAGTTTTCAAAGAATATAAGATTTCTGTGGATTGATATAGTACCAGAGAAAATTCTGCACTGATGCTGTCAGTCAAAGAGATGGGATCTTCGGTTATGAGACAGACTGTGAGCACTCTAAATTAGTTTTGTGTATTTATATGCAAGCTTTTATAATATTTCTTCACTGTTGCCACCCTATCAGCACCGAAGACTGGTCTAGCCAGATAAGAATGTATTACAGATTCGTCAACACAAAATGGGGAGAGAGCAGGGGGAGGAGGAAGAGGAGAGGCTGATGCAAGCAAATTTACAGCATCTGAAGCTTTTAATAAAATAAAAGCAACTACTTATATTTTTTTACACAAATGGCACATAATGGGATGAAGGCAGCTGAAATCACCACTTTGAACCACTGGAACATCTAAATGGTGCTGCATGCACCACTATCTTTATAAAAGGCAAGCAAAGAAAAACCGTGGAAGAAAAAGCATCACCATGATCCCTTCTGATTGCCTAGAAGTTACACCATACAGAATCATCTGAATACATTTTCCCATTCTGTGAGTGGCCACTTGCAAGCTGGAATTTATGAAAATACCTAACTATGGACAGACAAGCTGTTTGCTTCTGTGGAGGCAATCCAAATTATTTCTGTTTTCGAAGAACAAACTTACTATCCAGGCCATCTCAAAAGCATGGGTTATTTGGGAAAGGAAGGACTCTGTAATGTAAACAGGCATTAAAAAACCAAAAGAAAACCACGATACTGCAGGAACCTTCTGGTGAATAAATTCCATATAAGCATTAATCCAAACCTACTAAACAAGAACACTAGAGTTTCCATTTCTGCTTTCTACCTGCATGTGTGCAGGTATGCATGCATTTACAAAAAATACAGATATGGGAAAAACTAAATCTGCTATTTTCTGACTGTGATTACAATGTGTTTGCGATTACAAGTGCTATAGTACCTTACTGGAGCCAAACTACTCATCCTAGAAAGAATGAAATGCAGCTTTAGGAAGAGCTGTAGAGTATTAGGACTCCTCCGAAAACCAAGCTGTATAAAGTGAAAGCAAAAGTGTTCAGCAAAAGAAAAACAAAATATCACAGTTTTACTTTGCTGAAAATGTGATTTATTAGTACCACTTTTCCCCTGCATGATTTTGATGCACAAGCCATAGCAGTGGAAGAGAATCAAATCCAAAGGCTCACAATAAAATGACAAGCCTATGCTAATAGAGATGGAAATATTTAGGAATAGAAATAATGAGAAACAGAACAAATGTAAACATTTACTTCTGTCTTTTACACTCACGACAACAGCTCCCAACTCCAGGAGCCTGCAGCAACCCAATCGCTGACATACTACCACTGATCCTTCTCCTTTCATCTTCTCCCACCTGACTAGACACATGAAAATCATCTCTAGAACGGAGTAATATATTGTTTTCCTCTCGGCTGGCATTTTAGGCGGGCGGTTTTGCCTTTCCCCCGCCCTGAGCAGAACACCCCGCCAGCGCGGCGCTGCCCAGACACGAGCACGAGTGCTCCGCGCTGGGCTCGGCTGTTCCACGAAGCTCTTCCCGATCCCAGGGCCGGTTTCCCGGCGCGGGCTGTCCCTGCCCGCACCCCCTGGCCCCGCTCCCGGCGCTGCCCCCGCAGCCGGGGCCGCGCTCCAGCCCGGATCGCCAACAAACTTCGGGAACACCTCGGCTCCGCCGCGCCTCCCCGCGCGGGGCGGGACGGAGCGGGCAGGAAGCGGCTCCGGCGCCGCTCCGAGCTCTCCGTGCCCTCCTCCCGGTCATCACCTCCTCGGAGGGGCCGAGCGTCCCGGGTCTCCTCCCTTCACCTCGCCATGGCGTCCCGGCCCGGCCCCCGCCACTCACCCCGGGCGCGGAGCGGCGGGAGAAGGAAGACGAGGTGGGCGCAGGCAGCGAAGAGGAGCCAGCGGCTGCCGCCGGGCTCCCGAGACATCTCTGCGGGGCCGCTGAGCCGCACGGCGCGGGGAGGAGGCGAGCGAGGGGCACGGTGCGCCCGGCTGCCCGCCTCTGCCGCAGGAGCGCGGGCGAGCGGCCTCCGGCTGCTGGCGGTGCCGCGGTCGCCGCCTGCCCGCCCTCCTCCTCCTCCTCCTCCTCCTCCTCCTGGCTCCCCTTCCCTCCTCCCGGCAGGACCGGCCGCCAGCGCCGGCAGCGGGGGGAGGCGCTCGGCGGCCGCCGCGCCCTCTGGCGGCAGCAGCGGGAGAGGCAGCGCCCTGAGCCCCGCGCTCCCGGGGCGCTCGTCAGGGGAGTTAGTGAGCATCCTGCCCGAAATATTCCCAGTAACACCGCTCTCCTCGGCCATTAACTCTTCTTAACTTGGAACGGGTGGTGGAGTCACCGACTCTAAGGAAAGACTGGATGTGGCACTCCCTGGTATGGTTGATACGGTGGTGTTCAGTCATGGGTTGGACTTGATAATCTCAGAGGTCTTTTCCAACATAATTGGTTCTGTTATTCTGTGAAATGTTACGCAGCACTCCAACAGGAACCTCATCCGTCAAAGCAAGGGACCTAATTCATCTCTAAAACAAGCTTCACCCAAGAGAGCACATGGCACCTTCAGACAGCCTTTCCTAAACTGCCTGTGTGACCAGGAGTGGGGCACGGATACAGCCTGTGACCTGGAGCACAGCCTTGGCACTGCAGCCTCCACAGCTAAAATGACTCACCCTATTTGGCTAAAGAAATGCAGACCTGGAGCTGCACAAAACTGGTTTTAGGGGTAACACAAAGGACAAGGTAGATTCTAACATGCATATTTATCACGATACAGACAGTAAGTTTGGATATAACAGAGGCACAGACCAATGAAGAAAGATCAAAAATGCGAAACCTTGTTAGCAAACAAAAAATGACCTTACATGAATCCTGGCACAAGGAAGAGGAAACCATCCACAGGAATGTCAGATTTGTCCTAATGAAGCACTCTATGTTAACAGCAATAAGTCTCCCCATACACCCCAGAATTAAACTGCTGTCCTTCACTCCCATGGAAGCCACAGAAAGGCAAGCAGTGATAGGACTAGAAACTCAGCAGTGTGCAGGAAATTTTCAGTGCAACGTTATTTTTTCTTTTTTTCTGTAACAATTAGATACATATTAATAATTATTAGAATTTCACATTTCAACTACAGTAGCAAGAAACATTTCTTGGCATATAACATATAAGGTGTGCTTTCTCTTTGCTCTTGAACATGATTTTGAGTGTAACACCTGGTGGGCCTATGTAACAATTCCTTTCATTCTGGCTACATATAAACATGAATTCTAGCCAGATCTGTTTCTACACATTTTCCCATCAAATACTTTTCACACAGACCACTCCTAGCAATCCAACTATTCAGTATGCGCTGACCTCACTGGAGAAAAATGGTACAGAGTCCAAGTCAGCCATAAACTATTCTTAATCCTGTAAGGCCAAACAGCAACCAACAGGAACCCAACTTGAATCTTTCTTCAAAACACTGCAACTTTTAGATCTATGGCATTCTTTTCCAGACAGGTCAAGGGGTTACAATAGGATACCTTGAATATGCTAGAGAAGTGATTGAAGATGAATGGAAACCTTCTCACGGTCATAAACCATGACAGTGATCATTCCCACTGCAAGCTCAGGCAAGCACATTTACATCACAGTAACTTTGTAGTAGACCTCGCACTTTCCTTTAAAACTATCACCACAGAAATATGTTAGCCAGATTTTTTGGAGTACTCAGCCCGCTTTATGTATTTTCTAAACACATACCCCCTGATATCACAAGAGAAGGGAAAACGAGGCACAAGTGTGAACAACAACAGCTTGTTATTTGTCTTACAGAACAACTACTTGTTGCTGGCATTCCAGTCACTAAATAAGTTACTGGCCTCAATAATAATAATTCTGATGACAACTAAGTAGAAACTTACATACTATTTCTCTGTCTGATTTTATGTGCATGCTCATCATTACCAGGAAAAAAAAAAAAAAGAGAGAAGTATAAAGTTATCCTCCATTTCTAGAACTGTAACAATATAAAATATATGAAACCTTTTGCTTAACAGGTATATCTGCATTTGCTTGGTTTTCCTTATAAGTTTCAGAAGTGTTTCCCACTCATTCTTCCATTTCTCTGTTTTGTGCTGGTTTCTTCAATAATTCACATCACAAGGATCATGCCCACAACATTTGGGATAAACATAAGACTTTTCACTTTCAAAATGGTTAAGATATACCCATGTTCCAATGTTTCCCCATTCAGCGAGTGTGTAAGGAAAAAAAAATCCCAGCCTTTTGCTGAGATGTAATAAGGCTTGTCACAAATATAAGAAAAATTCCATTGTAACAACCCCCAAGAAATATGGAACCCTACCATGAAACATGGTGTTCTCCAACTGTTACGAAAAATAGCACGTAAGTGTTTTAAATTTTATAGTTAGGTCTGTGAGGAGGAAGTAGGAAATAAAGCTTTTTTTCTTTAATTCTACTCTACTTACACGCTCAGATTGTGTTTGTTTATTATTCTAACTACCCCACTGAGAATTTCCATCTCAGGAAGGTTGAAAATAATGAACTTTCTGTTAGGGAACACAGAGGTTTAGAACACCACCACACTCCTTTCTTTATGGCATTACATATATTTTAGATTCCTATATAATTCAAATGTAGCACTGTTGCTGTCTCGCCTCTGAGATTAGAAAGGAGGGGCTACAAATACAAATAAATGCTGCCATATATACAGATGTATATATATACATACATATATACACATACATATATATATGTATATATATATATGTAAAATTATGCATATCAAATGCAAAGGCTGACATGTGATTCAAAAGTAGCTTGCTCTTTGTGCAGGCACTGCAGCAGTGCCTCTGGATACCCTGGTGGCTCTGTCATCTCTTTCTACAGGGAAACAGAGAAATTGTGAGCCAGACACAACAGCAATTACTGAGTTAGAGAACTTGACTGCAACTACTTTGTTCTTTTAGCCACTTGAGAAAGGTTTCATCCAGGAATGAGAGAGTTGCTGTAGTTTCTTTCAACAGGTGGGGCAGAAAGACCTCTCTGTCTGAGACAGCCCTGCAAAGCACCAGAGTAAAGTTCAGGTCCAGCTCTTCCTCAAGTTTCTGCAATTGGAACCTCTCTGTCCTGCTCAGGAAGTTACGTAAGGCGGGGGCATAACTTTAAGTGATGACTAATCCCACGGAAATGAGCAAAACCAATCCAAAAGAGTTCAGAATCACACAATTACTTTTTAAATTACAACATACATTTGGAAACAGAGTTTCCCAGCTTTCAGCTACTCAAGGCAGTTATTCAATGCCAGCTCCAGTCCATTACTATGCACCCTAAAATACTGATACCCTGGGAATACACCTACATTTGTCAAACACTAGGCAGTGGGCTGGAGCTGGGATGCTCTGATACTCCGCAGTGCTTAGATCTGAATTATCCTTGCTTGTCTCCTTTGGACCATTCCAAACAGCTCTCCATGGGAGAAACCTCTAGTAGCAGGGAAAGCCCCCCACACTCTAAACATGGCTCAGTCAGTGACACTTGGCCTGATTTGCCCCATCCTGCTCAGGAGAACGGATAATGTTGCAGTATCAGCACATGCATGCTGCAAACCTGACAACAAAATCACTGAGGGAACTCAGCCCTCCAGTCAATCCCTGTGGCAGCCCACAGTGTAGTCTGAGTTTAGTCTCTCTTCTTGCTGGGTTAACCTGGGAAGTGCTTGTTCTTAATTAAAATTTGAGGACTCCATTTGAGCCAAATCGTGGAGCCTTCAGTGAAAGCTTTATAGAGAACTGGTGTGCAGCTGTAGCAAAAAGTCCCTGGAACAGAGTTCAACCAAGCAATTTTTCATGATAGAGACTGCTGTTATTAGATCACACAGTCTCTAGGAAGGACTTGGAAAAACACTGGGTGTGAAGCAATCAGTCACAGATTCTTATAAGATTGTAAAGATGGATCAAACACAATTCCTTTCCTATGGGGCAGTAATGAGTGCTTAAGTGTCTCTGCCAGTCAGCTCCTCTGTCTTCTGGCAGAGAAACAGTGAAAATAGCATCTGCAGCTTATCTTCTGGTGCTCATTTAGGATTGTCCAAGAGGCAGAATATATACGCTCAGAGGAGGGGGCAGGACACAGGAATTTCAACATTTTTGAACTATTACAGACCAAGCAACAGATAAGAAATAGAAGTTCTATCAAGCTGTAGAACTTAACACAGGTCCCCAGAGTTCAGGTGATGGGATTATGAGATGCTCCTGTCTACTGTACTGCACACAGTCAAGGAGAAAATTCTATAGGCAGATGTAGAGGACTGAAGCTTTTCAGTCTTGATTATAAGCCAAGGGCATGTTGCCTGCTCCCTTGGTCAAATGAACAGCTTGCCTAAAGAACTGTCAGACTTGCTGTTCTCTCCTGTTTGGTCTCTTGCTGCTTCCATCTGACACAGAACTGCCTCTACCAAGCACATCTGAGCTTTTTCTATTTTCCCTGCTGAAATGTAGCTATTTAAAAATATGAAACATATGCCCTGAACTACTTGATCTTGTATTTTAAATAAATTAAAGAAAATATTACCTTGTAACTGAAAGTCAAAATATAGATAAACAATAAGGGATTTAACTGAACAAAATAATGTATGAAGAAAATGCTTCCATAAGTTTTAAAAAGCTTAGTGGCTACATTAACTGCTTTCCTCAGCTTCTAATTCTTACAAGAAAATGTGGTGCAAAGGATCACCCACTTTTCTCAACTGTGTACTAAGTCATAGTGGCAGGGAAAAAGAATGAGGCAAACTGTTCAAGACACACTGAAGTGGGTGGTTAAATAATGTCCTACGAATTTGTCTTTAACATTTCTATTAAATGTCTTTAACATTGCTGGTTTGACGAGCTGTAAACAT